TACAGACTGTCAAGACTCTATCCAGAGACAATTTAGATAAAATATCCAACGATTCAAAATAATAAAATTCTTTTAGGTTTCCTAATTGATCCCAAGGTTTCTATGCCACTGAAGAGGTCTGTCTGGTGGCTCACCCTATACCATATTCTGTTCAGTTGTTACAACATAAGCAATATAGAAATGATCAAACAAATATGTGTTATTTCATGACAGGAAGGAAATGACTGGAATAGTTTAAAAGCGACATGTATTAATTCAATATTAAATGAAACCAGGCTTATCCCATTAAGATTTCTTTTCTAATGGAGACTTGGAGGAGAAAAGAGCATCCAGACAAACATAAAAGTTGAAAGACAAAAGACATACCACAGTGTACTCAGACAGCACAGCAGTTTGAATACCACAGGGTGCAGTTTTAATCTGAAGGCCTAGTTGTGTCTTACATCACAGCTATGTCGCCATCTGGAAGAAATAAACGCGACGCCCTGAGGTGTTCTTTTGAAGCTTTTGGGATTGGTCCATTTTGAACTTTTCGAGGATCCACCCACCTTAATCACAGGTTCCAACTTTGAGCTCCAGGGAGGATCCCCACTTCTACATTTGTGAGTGTATCTGTATTTGCGTGTGTGTGTTGGGGTGTGTGTGTGTGTGTCTAAGTACTACAGGGTGGTGTGCACACAGTTCCTCTCATAACCTTCAAGGAAGATTATCTGAATCCAGGATACATAACCAATGATATAATGCCGGCACTGCAAATAATGTTAGTCAGCTTGTCCCATGTTACAAAATATTAAATATAGTACTCCTAAAGTATTAAACTAGTAGTATTTAAAATATAGCAAATACACACTCCTGTTAACTCAGCTCAACCATTGCTACATCTATCCAATAAAGATTGAATTATACAGGAATTATATATATACAGAAAGTACACTTATTCGTTTTCTGATGGATGAGAATTTAGACCTCACATACCTATCTGTTGAATTGGAAGCGACAGCCAGCAGCAGGTTAGCTTAGCTTAGCATAAAGACTGGAAACAAAGGGGAAACAGTAAGAATGGCTCTGGATTTTAAGCAGTACAGTAGTCAAATATCCCAACAACAATTTGCCATTTTACGGGGTGTAAAGTGCTGGACTGTTTCTTGGCTTAAACAAACAAACAATAACAAGTTAATTAGCAATCTTTAGAGGTTCTTGTTACAGATGGAATAAGCCAGGTGAGCTGTTTCCCCCTGTTTTCTTTAAGCTACGTTTTGACCAAAGGAACTATACCCTGGAACTAGGAACCTTTGGAGGAACTCTTTGTGTTTCCACCGAAGGGACCAGGGACTAAATTTGGTTCTAGGGTCTTTATTTTACGCCACAAAAGGTCCCTGCTCACGGGGTAGTCCTTTCCGCAAGTACCGGTACTTTGGGGGGATGGGGCTTGCCTTGTAGTGATTTCAGAATGGGTGAGTAGAGGCTACTGGCTTTGAATCAGCATGTCGGGTGTTTTTCTATGACTGCTCCTCTCTTTTCCACCGTTGTTTGCAAACCAATAAATATAAAGATGAACAGTCAGATAGCCCCACAGGTCTCGCCGATGTCCGCCTGAGATCGTACGTTGGCAATAAATGTAAGCTACTGGAAATAGCAGCCAGTGTGCAGCGGTGTGTTTACAGAGAACAGCTGATTGTGTTATGCTAAATACTCGGTTCAAAGTTGTTGTTTTAAGCTTTCATCAGTCAGGAAGTTTTTACACAGAGCTGAAGTTGGGCTCCTCCTCTCCAAAACAAGCGGAACAGCTGATAACAGCAGGTAATAAAGCTCGTTAAACATCCCGTTCCTCCGACGCTCAGGCGGACACAGCCTGTGATGCCTGTGCATTGCTTTGTACGGCGTACAGGCCTACAGCCTACGTCAGCTGGTTAATTTGCCAAGTGTTCGCAGGTCTTTAGACCACAGAAACGCATACAACATGGGCTGAAGGAACCTTTTAGTTGCTTGAAAAGAGATTCAGGGACTTAAAGTCTAAACGCAGCTTTTCTACTATGCTATGCTGTCTGCTGTGTCTTTAAGGCACATAACAAAGAAGAATATAGAGGGATTTTCTCTGTATTTCTGTGTGTGTAATCATTTGCTTAAGTTGTTTCTGATTTGAAGCAGCTGCTTTTAATGAATGACACGTTTCAAGAAACACTAGGATCTCCTCAAAGCAAAACCTTTTCACTGCATGTGTTGTTCAAGGTGTAGCTCAAGTATTTTCCAAATGCACCCCATATCTTTTGAACCAGTCAGGCAGCAAAGACCTTTAAAGTTTAAGAGTGCCTTGATGGTGTTTGTCTCGCATTGTATTCAGTGAGCAGTACTTGTGTTGTTACACCCATGTGATCACATCATGTTTTAAGAGGATTTTCATTAAGTACTTACAGAGCATTAGTTACAACAACTCTGTTATACAGGTTAAGACAGTGGTATGAGTCCACTGGGATATTTTATTATTAAATGTTTTGAAACACTGTGGGCTGAACACATGCTTTGCATTTTAAATTTGCAGAACAAATGCAGTCATTTGACTGTTAACTTCCTCCCTGCATATTTTCTAACAGTTTCACTGATGACAGATAACCACTGGCTATACACTCTGGACAGAATATAGTATACTTAGTATGACACATAAAATGAAAAATTCCTCTGGCTATTTGGCAGAAAGACTTTTCTCGAGTTATTACACCTCTACCCCACTCTGGGTTTTACACAACTAGAGCTACACAAATATAGGAGGTCACTTCACTGACAAATGTGACACTGACCCATGAGGGGGATCCCCAACCGACTTTCCAGGTCAAAAATAACTGTTTCAACTTATGGCAAGAGGGTAGTGTATAATATTAACTATGTGCCTGTTCGCGCTCTTGAGTGACATAAAGAAACTTAAAAATAGGAAATGTTCATTAGGAAGTGAACAGGGTCACCAGCTTCCCTGTTTTAAAGCTTGATAGCGTTAACTTTCATTTATGTGGCCACAGGAGATTTTCCAGCTATATTGCTGGAAATAAAGGGCATCCTGTATTCAAATCCAGTTTTCTTTCTTCAATACTACACCCACACCATCATAAACCGCTCTTCCTTTCTCAGATGTTGATTCTGTAGTGGCAGTAAAGCTCCACAAACAGGCCAGTGTTTGCTTTAGCTGCTGTAGTTACTCCTGTGGAGGTGACAGACGACCCGTGGCAAAGGGCTACAAGCTGTAAACTACATCGGTGGCCAGATACCGCAAAAATGTGAATTCCCGTTTGAGGACAAATAGGGGTTTCAGGAAGAGAGCGTACTTGTGAACTTGTGTCTCTGACTGAGGCATGTTTACTTTGGGTGGACACTTCTACCTGAAACAACGGGAGACTGTTGGTTGACAAAATGCAAACCTGTGACGTTTTTCACTGTGATGTCATAAATTTCTTTGTACTCTTGTAGTAGACACAGTCTTATAATTAAGGTTGTAAACTACGTTCTATCATATCGATTTAAATATTTCACGATGAGGCTCTCCATTCAGTACATGTGGTGAACTGAAGATTTCACCTCTTGTTTTCTTCAGAGTTGAGCAACAGTGTGGTTGCTGAGCTATCTTTTGTTATTGTCCCCACATCCGGTTGTTTTTGTTGTATTGTACTACTTTTGTTTTGTTATGGATTACTCTATATGGGTTAAACTACTGACTGTACGGGTTAAACAAACAGTTTCATTACAAACCATTTAGGCCTACTTTACATGTGAAGTTCACTGTTCTGAAGTGAAATGTAACAACATTTTCAGCATTAACATCTTTATTTTTGTCATATCCAAGATTTAGCTAATTTTAATTTTTACTATTGTTAGAGATCATAACTTGTTGTTAGTCACAATGTAACTAATCAAAATGTCAATTGAAATTCATCCTATGTGCATAAATGAATCATTTACACTGAAGAGCTCTCAAGGGTTGTCATTTGTTATCAAGTGCAAACACTGTCATCTACGACATAGTAACATGGCTCCTGTTGCTTTAATTAAAAGGTTTTTTTTGAATTCTGCAAACCACGGCATGCTGATAAGAACATAATGCTAGTAATAATTTAAAATTAATTTCTAAAATGTGTGAAAACTGTGGAAGAAAAAATCTTTTTGACAGAAAAGAAACTGACAAACACTCATCGGTCGTTCAAAGGAAGTAGGAAATGAGCATTTCAGGGAAATCCATCAGAGTGGTAAAGCTTGTTTTGTTTGTTCTTTCAAAGAAAAGAATGAAGATAAGACAAAGATCAGGGAGCAAGACATATATCAAAGAGGCCAACTAACACCTTATTGGAACCATTGAGGTTTAAAAATGACAAACAAAATCGAGAACATCTCCTGTTCTAAACCCAAAGTGCAACCTATTATTCTGCAGTGGCATATATGTTCTTCACTTTAGCTGATATGAAATCTAAAACCTCAATGTGACCTTTGGCCAATATAAAGTAGGGTGTTAGTACTCTTTGCCTTTCCTGGACACACTGGTTGTAAACAGCTTACATAGATGGAATAGAAACGATTGATCCAGGAATCTCCAAATCAATGTCACAGCTCCACGATTGATACAGTGAAAGTACTATAGTGTATTGATGAACTGTGGACTGAGCAAGTGTGTGTGGGCAAAATCTGATGCAACTCCTGGAAATAGAGATCTGAGTATACACAGAGAAGCCAGTTTACTCTATCAATTTGTCAAATCAGACTTAATCTCATGCTGATAGATATACAATATAATAAAATGTAATATATTATAATGGAAGAGAACAGAACAGAACAGAATAAGATGGTACAAAGACATTTCATCATAATTACAAGGAACTTTGGCTATTTTACTTTGCAAGCAGAGTGAAACTTCAAATGCAAATTACATCAGCACAGCGACCAATCACAGACCGTAAACGGATTGCGTCAGAGCCGCTGGGATCCTATCAGCGAGCACCACGATAGTAGAAAAAGATCGCCGGCACACCCATCTTGTCCAACAGTTGAGGATTGTCGGGGATCGGGAAACCAGGGGAACCTCAAGGTTTCCACAGACTTCAATAAGGATACCCCGTTATTTCTGATTTCTTACAGCGCCAGTCGGACATACCAACATGGTGGTGGTAGCAGCAGGGACCGGGGGAGCCCACAAAGTGCTCCTGATTACCGGGAAACAGACCGGCTCCTCCAGCGGCTCACAGGCAGGCTTCAGCCGGCCCATCTCTGTCGTTTTACCGTCATCGGCCAGCCAGGCGTCGTCGGATTCAGACTCCAACTCCTCCGCGGGGCCACCCATACGAAAACGACAGAGGCTCACACACTTGAGTCCGGAAGAGAAAGCTCTTCGCAGGTTAGTTTGAGAAAAATTTCCCTTATTTACCGTTGTATAACTGTTTGGTTTTTTTTTTTAAAGCATAAACGCGGCAGTTGTTCATGAAATTATATTGCCACTGCGACACGCCCAAAGATATTGATCCTCCTTCGAACAATAGCAAACTGATGCGTTTAAATCACAGCTCGGAACAGTGGGGTCAATGCTGCATCAGCCCATATTATAACTAGGTTATCTAAACTGTCACAAATTGCTACGTGAAGCAGTTAATTACATATACGTTGTTGTTGTATCACATTTGGACTTTCAAACATTCAAACTTGCTTGACCTGCTATCTGAGTGATTGGACAGTCGGTGGACCCGCCCGGCTCTGCTGATATGGAGCAGGACACTGATATCCTGGTGTGCCTGCGTGGCAGGAACATGGCCGGTGATTGCGCAGTACTGTGAACCAGAGTCCTGTCAGTGCGCTTACTCAGCACCATGGAAACAATGTGTTAAATTCCTGTGTGGGTTTTTTTTTTTTTTCTTCCAGGAAACTCAAGAATAGAGTCGCAGCTCAAACCGCCAGAGACCGGAAAAAGGCCAAAATGGGGGAGCTGGAACAGCAAGTCCTAGAGTTGGAGCTGGAGGTAAAACTTTTTAGACCTGGTGTAGCTAGGAATGCGGGGTGTCCTTAAACAAGAGAACACTAACACCACCCCACCTTTTCCCATGTACCCCATGTACCGGTTTTGTTGTAACCTTACAACTCAAACACATCTCTGCTCCTGAGATATCAGATTTATCCGTTATTCAGCCGTTTCACCCTACAGTAATTATTACAAATACTCTACTTTAGTTTTGCATGGAAGCATGCTAAGACCCTTTATTAGGTGAGGTTTCAATTCAGTTTTTGGTTTCTTTCACCCGAGGCAGTTCATGCATCACTTCCCGATGAACAGGTTTCAAGTTCAAACATCTGTCTGTTTGTCCTCCCCACAGAATCAGAAACTATACATTGAAAACAGGGTGCTTCGGGAAAAGACAGTTGGCCTCCTGACAGAAAATGAGGAACTAAGACAGAGACTTGGGTTGGACACCCTCGACACGAAAGAGACGGTGAGACTGTAATGCAGACTGAAGACGAGAAGTGGGTTCAGTGTGTAGTGATTCTCCAGTCTTGTCAGTGGTGTAACCCGTTATTTTTGTCACAGGTTCAGGGTCTGTTGTCCACCGGGAATGAAGCAGGTTTGGGGATCGGGTCTTCTGAGTCCGCAGCACTCAGGCTACGTGTGCCTCCGCAGCAGGTGCAGGCCCAGCAGTCCCTAAATCTGAAGACCTCTCAATGGATACAGACAGTCCTGACACTACAGACAATGAGGTAAGTCTCTGAGAAAGATAAAAGTCGTGTCTTGAGATTTAAATCCTGTTGCCAATCATCTCTGGAATAACACAAGTCAGGTCATGGGTTACGAGGCTAATCTCTGGTTTTCTCCCTGCCTCCTCACTAGTCTGATTTGCTACTGGGCATTCTGGACATCCTTGACCCAGAGCTGTTCCTCAAGTCTTGTGAACAGGAGTGCCAGGAGCCGCAGGTGCAGCTGGTCAGAGGGGGGAACCCAGTACCTTCCACCACACCTGCGACTCTGGGGACCCCATCAGTTAAGCTGGAGGCCCTTAATGAACTGATCCACTTCGACCACATTTACACCAAGCCCGTGGAGGTGAGCAGCGGGCAGTGCAGTGACTTGGAGAACGACACAGAGGAGAAGAGTGATGAGGCTACCTTCCCGTTACCGAGGTGGAGGTGGAGACGGTCTGCGTCAAAGACGAGCCGGAGGACGTGGTCATCCCCAGCTGTCACAGTCAGGTGGATGACCTTTTCTCTGGAGCCTCATCCCCTGCCCTCAGCGGCATGGATAAGGAAGCCTGCCTGGCGGACACCTACAGCGACTCCGGATACGAACGGTCCCCTTCCCCTTTCAGCGACATGTCCTCTTCCCTGTGCTCCGAGAGCACCTGGGACGACATGTTCGCTAATGAACTATTCCCCCAGCTTATCAGTGTCTGAATCCAACCCCTTGGCCCAATAAGTTATAATATATACATCTAAGAGCTAATGTGTAGTGTTCAATAACTACAGAAAAGCACATGATGCTTCATGGTAATATAGAACACAACCTGCTCGTATATAGGCTAAAGTTAAACACACAATCTCTTTATTACAGCAGGTCTGTACCACTGGATACTGAATTGACTTGAGCTGCAGTTCATGGAGTTTTTGGCATCACTTAATTACTGCATAGGGCTTAAGATTGATTACACTTCTTTCACTTGTTGTTCAAGATGAAATGAGTGGAATCCAGTGTTTCTGTAAATTAAACCGGGGGATGGGGACCGATCATTTAAATATTATTTATTTGTGTTTTCTGCTGGAGTCGTCGTATGTCCACATGTAAAAATGCATTCTTCTAATTTGTTGTCTGCTCTCCGTATAGTCTAATTACTGCATTAAAAAAATTTTTTGCATTGCATCTTGTCTATTTGTTTCACTCACTGCAACTGCTTCTACAAGGACAGTTTTCCCAGATCTTTACAGGACGTGGAAAGATTAGAGCAACACGTATTGATGAAAGGATAATGCAAGTAATTGTACGTTTTCATCTGTGAACGCCGCTGAAAGTAGTTGATCGGTCAGTTGGCTGAAAAAGTCATTGATCAGGCAAAGTAGCAAAACATTGGCCAGTTCAGCTTCTCATAAATGGATTTTATTGTAAACCAGATATCTCTGGATTTTGGACTCGTGGTGGCACAGAACCAGCAACTTAAAGATGTCTCACTCTAAACTGAGATGGGCGTTTTCCCCTATTGGACATTTTTATAGTCTAAACCTATGGTTCCCAACCTGGGTGTTGTAACTGTCAAAGAGAAATCTGATGCATAAGAAGGGGGGGGGGGGGGGAAATATACCAATTTTGTCTGACATGAGAAATTAATATCACTTGGAGGTTTAACTGTTTAATCTACACTTGAGACATTAACTTGCGATATGAGGGTTCACAAGTTGATGTTGCTTCATTTAGGGGGGTCACCAGCCAAAAAACAGTGGAAATGTCTGGACTAAGAAATTCATTATAAAAAGGTGACAGATTAATCAACTCTGAAAAGTACTTTCTGCCTAGACAAATTTTCATATATAAAAAAAAACTTTGGATAGGGCTTTTTAGTGAAACGCCTCCAAAGAATCATGTACTTGCAGCTTGTATTCTTAAAATTTAAATCACATCACCAATGGAATCAGTTTCACCTGCAAATGTGGTAGAGACATCAGGAGCTTTAATTATACAAATGATGGTTAATTAGATTATCAAATGTTTGCTGTGCTCTTAGTTCAGTATGAAGAGTCAAAGGTTAGGGTATTAGGAGTAGTAACGGGTTTATCAAAGTGATTTAACAAATGCTGTGTTATCTTAAACTCTCTAATATGAGCAATCAACTTGCATAACACAATCCTACTCCATGGGATGGCCGTAGATCCACTGGAATAAAGCATCAACAAGTCATCTATTCAACTGTCCTATCATTTGTGAAATTATCTCACACATGCGAACACGGTGTTTATATTCCTTATCTCCCGTGTGCCAGCGCAACCTTGCTTTTCTGAGAAGGAGGCCTGCTTGTAACTGTACCACTTGTAATGTAACTGGAAGTTTCCTGGGAGTCTAACCTGAGACACTTCTAGGCTTTACTTCCAGACATAAATAGGTCAGTGTAAGTATTGTTGGTGTTTTGTCTTGTACAGTAAGGAGCACACCTCCCGCCCGGGGCCTTTATTGTAATCACAATGAGGTCTCATTCTGTATGATAGAGGAGACAGTTAGCCCTTTAAGTTCCTAAGGCTGTGATTGGTATGACCCACCCATTGAACAAAAGTCCCTGTTGTTGTAAGGTCTGATTAGATCAGGTTTTCAGATGCAACACCGATGTTAATTGATATTAACTCTGCAGGGCCTGGCTGCCTGTCTCTGTTTGCTTTTAACTCCTGTTCACTGATTACAAAGCTTTGTATCAGTGATGTCCTCCATTATGTTTCACAGCAGCTACTCTGGAGTACATGACAGCAAATTATCTAGTACAAGATGAAGGGGGAAAACAGAAATCGGCAACTCAGCAGCTATTTTATGGTAATGTGACGTGCATCTTGTATTTTTGTGGTATGTTGACGGAAACCGCAGCAGCCTTTGACGTAGCTTCACCTCAGCTGCACCTAAAAGAGTGTGGTTAGTACCGTTTCCTGTCTCTTTGGTGTATCCCACAGCAAAGACTGAATCAGCCTTACAGCTGTTGAGCTGAAACTGAAAAATATCTTCTGGAGCAAGATCTTTCGGTTTCAGGCTGTAGATTCTGGTTTATTTAGGGACAACAGACTCATTTCTGTTTCTACTCACTGGATGTGCCGGCTACAATTTTTTTTTCTCTTTCTTACCCATTGGTGACTGCGATGATCAGTTTGCTAAATTTGGCACCTTCAGAAGTTTTCTGCATCAGATATTAAAACACGCCAGAACGTCTGAAGGTGCTGTTGGTTGCTGTGACAATTTTAACATGGGAACTTTAATATTCATATTAATTCTTAATAATTATCCAAAAAAATCAACATGTCATAGTTTCAGGGTTTTCTTCCCCTGATAATAGTTAAATGGTTCAAAACTCATTATATTATAATATTGCCAACCAAGTCAATAATGTATTACAGAAAACTGGCCCTGGATCTGCCATGAATGACCTAATCTGCTTTCATCTCGTGAAAGAACACCTGTTGCCATCTACAACCTAATATAAGCTTTCTGTGACTCTATTTCTTAACTTCCGTTTTGTATGATTTAAGTGTCAAACTGTTTCGTTTGGTATAGTGTATGGTTCCAAAATGCTATCAGTTACCTACCTGCTTACATGCTGGGATGCATAGTGTGTCCTGTAGCCTGCATAACAAATAATGGCCTGTAGTTGACATTGAATTTTTTATTGATTATTGTTGTCTAAGACCTGATAAAGACTCCTGGTCCAGGTCAGTGTGTTCCTCTAAACCAGGATGAAACCAACCTGGTTCTGGATGTCAAAGTTCATGCTTAAATTAGAACTAGATTTGCTTCGCTAATATGACACACGTATGCACGGATTTGGATAAACCTTACTGCAGGCCTCGGGTTACTATACTCAGCAGTATTATAAAGAGGATTGCTAAACCTACACTGGCAGCTGCCACTTCAATGTAAATGCCTGTACCTGAGCTTTTCAGACTAAACTGTAAACAGCGTGCTCCAAATGTACAGAGCAACAGGCAGGGCTGGACTGGTAATCTGGCATGCAGGGCAAATGCCCAGTGCGCGAAAATAAGCGATATGTTTGCTACCGGGGCTGCGGTACTTTTAACATCCGCTGCGGTACCCGATGTAGAGCAGGCACAGGCACTTGAAGGAGTAAAGGAGGGCTGTAGCCACGGTCAGGCAGAGGAGGAGATGTGTGTTAGCGGGTGACAAAGTGACAGGGCTGAGGGAGAAAGCAGCACGAAAGTGGAGGTGAAGCGGTAAGCATGGAGTAGCTCAATCTGGAGGGAAGGTCATTTACACTGGGGACCTGGGGACATGTAGCCACCACTTTTTGAAAGCATTTGTTAAAAATATTCTTAAAAATAGCTTGCAACATCCATCCATCCATCCATCCATCTTCATCCGCTTATCCGGGATCGGGTCGCGGGGGGAGCAGCTCCAGCAGGGAACCCCAAACTTCTCTTTCCCGAGCCACATTAACCAGCTCTGACTGGGGGATCCCGAGGCGTTCCCATGCCAGTGTGGAGATAATCTCTCCACCTAGTCCTGGGTCTTCCCCGAGGCCTCCTCCCAGCTAGACGTGCCTGGAACACCTCCCTAGGGAGGCATCCAGGAGGCATCCTTACCAGATGCCCAAACCACCTCAACTGGCTCCTTTCAACGCAAAGGAGCAGCGGCTCTACTCTGAGCTCCTCACGGATGGTCAGGCTTCTCACCCTATCTCTAAGGGAGACACCAGCCACCCGCCTGAGGAAACCCATTTCGGCCGCTTGTACCCGCGATCTCGTTCTTTCGGTCACAAAGCTTGCACCAAGAAATGTTAATTAACAGATAAAAATGCTATGAAAAAGGTTTAATTGCACAATAAGCCTGCAATGCAATCTAAATATAGAAGAAAATTCTGTTGTCCAAAAAAAGTAACTTAAGCTGAAAAAAATAATAAGCTACTGATTACTGCATTCTATTATATCTTTATATTCTATTTATTCTATTCTATTTGGTGGGCCGCCTGAGCCAAAAATGCCAGGGCCGATCTTTTGTCCCAGTCCAGCCCTGGCAACAGGCGAAATCTGCTCTGATACAATAACATACACACTGTTGAATGAGCTGAACTTGGCTTTTCAGCAAGGACTCTGAGAAATAAGCAAGCCAAAAACAAAAAAGTACCAGCTGATAAATCAGGATTGCAAGACAAAGAAGTTCATAACGTGGCTCCTGTGACAGTTTTCATGTGAGAGGCAATGATGTTGCTGGGTTGGGGTGAGCGAAACTCTACAGTCGGCGAGCCTCAAGGGCTGAGCGACTTCAGACTTCTGACCCAAATTAGGAATGTAAACCAACAACCCCCTTTAGCCTTCATTATTAAAAGGCTACTCAGTGGTTGAAAACCAGCTTTGAGGGTGGGGGCCATAGCCTTGGCCTTTATGA